ACAGCACCAGGCTCTGCTCTGCATCTTCACGCTTCTGCATCTCATCCTCCAGCCTGGGGTGCAACAGGAGGGAGGTCAGAGTGAGGTGAGGGGGCATAAAACCCCATTTTAGGGATACCTAAGGGGGAAATTCTTTGTTTCTGGCACAGGCTGCCCAAAGAAGGTGTGGGTTTCCCACCCTGGAGGTGCCTAAGGCCAGGCTGCATGGGACCCCGGGCAGTCTGATGAAGTGGGGGGCAACTAACCCATAGCAGTGGTTGGGTTGGAAAGGCTTTGAGGTGCATCCCTTGCATCCCCCCCATCCTTACACCCATCACACACCAAAGGACCACCCCTGGGTCCTTTGCAACACATCTCAGTCCTCACCCAACATCCCCAGCCCATTCCCTTGTCGCCGTCCCCCCTTCCCAGACCACACCGGTCCCCTCCCTGGTGTGTCCTGGTTCATTCTGGAGTCCCCGTCTCCATCCCAGTACATGCTCCATCCCTTTGCAACACATCCCAGTGCATTCCCTATGGCCTATTCCCTATTTCCTGCTTCCCATCCCAGTGCATCTCAATCTCCATCCCTCTGACCCCCACTGCATTTCCTATTCCCCACCCCCAGCGTATCCCAATGCATCCTAAATCCATTCCCAGCACCTCCGGATGCATCCCCCGCTGCCCACCCCATTATGACCTCCGCTTCACTTCCCGGTGCATCTCCACTCATCTCCAGTTCCCACCCCAGACCACAGCCAGTCCCTCCTCAACACATCTCCGTTCATCCCACCGTTTCCATTCCAGAGCCTCCTCCACCCCAACGGCTCTCGGTCCCCACCACTGTGAATTCCGCTTCACCCCACGGTCCCCACCCCCAGATCACTCCCAGTCCCTCCCCAGCACATCCCGGCTAACTCACCTCACATCACTCCCATTCTCCCCTCTACACATTTCGGTGCGCCCACCCTTCCTTCCCCGTCGCATCCCGGTCCTCACATCACATCACATCGCTCCCGCTCCCTCCCCATACAGCTCGCTGTCCCGCTCCCCTCCCATCACACCCCCTCCGCTCCTCCTCCCGCCGCGCACCGCCGCCGCAGCCCCTGCAGCTCCGCCGCGAGCCCATCGCGCTCTCCCTGCAGCCGCTCCCTCTCCCGGCCGAGGCGCTGCAGCCGCTCCCGCAGCCCCCGCAGCTCTCCCCGCACCAACCCCGCAGCGCGGGGAGCGGCGGCGGCGCGGCCGATGGCCGAGCGGAGGGCTCCGTTCTGCCTCTCCAACGCCCGCACCCTCTCCAGGAAAGCGGCGAAACGATCGTTCAGAGCCGCCAACTCCGTCCGCTCCGCGCTGCGCCCCGCCGAACGCGCATCAACGGGAACCGGCGGAGAATCGAGGGTGCGGTCCCGGGGTGGGGAGAAATCGCGACTCATCGCGGCTGCGGGAAGAGGCGGCCGTCGGTTGCGGGGATTGACAGCGAACGGCGGCTCCGCCCCGGCGGGGGGACGCGGGAGTGAGGAGCAACGGGAGGGAAAAGAGGGGAGGGGCTGGGGGTGGGGGCGGGGCTCCCGCAGGTGCCCCCGGTCGCTCCCTGGGCTCAGGTGGGAGCTGCTGAGTGCCAAAAGCAGCGGGGTTTGAGCATCGCTTGCGCTCCCCATCCCTCCATCACTGTCACTGAATTCCATAGTAATTCGATTTCGGTAAGGAAGCATTTAAGAAAAACGTAACGTCAGTTCTATACTGTTTTGGGCACGTGTTTACAACACATTAATATAGATTTTCTTGGAGAATTTTATTTTTATTGTATTGTAATGTATTTATTTTTTCCCAGCTTTGCGCTCTTCAAAACCAAATGGAAAAATCCCACGCAGCGTTCGGAGGAGCGCGGCTCTTTTCTCAGTCTCTGCTGCCACCGTGTGGTCAAAGAGCGGAACTGCAGGAGTGGCGCTCGGGGGACGGTTGAGCCCTGGAGGCGGCGGTGGCGGTTTTAGGGCCGACGGAACTTTTAGAGGCGGTGCTGCTGCTGCTGGTTTTATGGGGCGGAGGGGATCAGGGTTGCTCAAGGCGGTTCGGACCTCCCCGGCTCCAGCACTGCCCCGCAGAACGCTCTTGGAGCTGCTTAGCGCGTCGCTCTGCCCTCCCGCTCCGAGTCTCTATTCTCTATGGTAATTGGTCATACTGTCGCTAACATGCAAGTGTTGCGACACACAGAAGTCGCGACTCTCCACTCTGACAGCTCTGCGTCGTCAGTTCGCCAATACCTACGATAATAGGGCTTGCGACTGTCCTGCGCATGTGCAGTGAAACGCGGAAAGTCTGTTTGTTTTAACCGTTCTGCGCTCCCAGACCTCCAATCTCTATGCTTCTTTGGTCCGCCAGGCTGTAGTACACATGCGCAAACAGCTCTTACCGCTCTGCGCCACAGTTCCTCCAATCTCTATGGTCTTCGGTCCGCCAGGCGGCATTACGCATGCGCACAGGCTCAAGCAAGCACTTTGGGAAGCCTGTGGGGCACACAGGGGGGGCACAGACAGGCGCTGGGGGACCGAGCGTAAGGGAGCTTTGGGGTCTCCAGAAGTCATCTGCCCCACCGGGAGACGCCCCCGATTTTGGGGTGTCCCCAGTTAGGAACTGCCTCACTTTATAGAATCTCCCCATTTTTGAGGTTTCCCCATTTCTGAGCATCCACATGGCTTCCACTAAGGGAATCTGTTTGGGGCGCGGGTAGGATTGGGATGAGGACAGGGGTGGGATGGGATTGGAACTGGGATGGGATTGGGGTTGGAGAGGATGAGAGTGGGGATTGGGATGGGAATGGGGATGGGATTGAGATGGTGATGAGGATAGGGATGGAAGTGTTGATAGGGAGGGGATGGGGACAGATGAGAACGGGATAGAACTGGGGTGAGGATGGCATGGTTTTGGGGTATGGATGAGCACAGGATGGGGTGAGGATGTGGCTGAGAAGACCCCCGGGTGCCCCCCACCACGCAGCGCCGGTGCGGCCGTTCCGATCACCTTTATTGGAGGAAACCAACAGAAAACCCAACGGCGCCCGGCGCCGCGCAGCCCCACACCCCACAGCACTCCCACCCCAACAGCAACGGGGCACGGAAGGAGATGGGGGGCAGACGTGAGGCCAGGCCCCCCCAAAGACCCCCACCCCCCCCCCAAAAAAAAACCCAAATGAAGCAGGGCGGAGCGGCAGGGCCCGGCAATGTCGGTTTTCCTCCTTTTTTTCCTTTCCTTATGCTGATTCTTGGCTTGATTTTGGCGGGGCGGCGCTGGGTTTTCTGTTCCATTTCGGTGTTGGGGTTGGGGACGGCCTTCACTCGCCGCACTCCTCCTCCTCGCCGTCCACTGACAGCGCTGCATACTTGCTGGCGTGGCTGAACTGTGGGGTGCAGCGCCAGTGCTGTGAGGCTGGGCCCTGCCCCACAACCAGGCAAACCCATCCCCAATAGCCCCCAACCTGCAAAAAGCCTCAAATCCCAAAGCCCTGTAGGTGTCCAAAGCCCCAAATTCACAGAAAACCCCATACAGCCCCCAAACTCCAAAGCCTTGGGCTGTGCCCTACAGCTCAGCCGGAGTGTGGCACTGCCCCCAGCCCCATCCAACCCCACTGGGGTCACAGCCAGGTCCCATCAGGTCCTACTGGGGTCACTCCCTTAATGGGACCTGATGCTAATGCATCAGACCCAGGTCTCACCTAATGCCACTGGGTCACACCCAGGTCCTGTCAGGTCCCACTGGGGTCACACCCAGGTCCTGTCAGGTCCTACTGGGGTCACACCCAGGTCCCGTCAGGTTGCTAATGAGACTTGATGCTAATGCATCAGACCCAGGTCCCATTCAATCCCTCTGGGGTCACTCCCAGGTCCTGTCAGGTCCTACTGGGGTCACTCCCTTAATGGGACCTGATGCTAACACATCAGACCCAGGTCTCACCCAATGTCAGTGGGTCACTCCCAGGTCCCGTCAGGGCACTAATGGAACCTGATGCTAATGCATCAGACCCAGGTCCCATTCAATCCCTCTGGGGTTGCACCCAGGTCCCACTGGGGTTACCCCCAGGTCCTGTCAGGTTCCCCCATGACACTCACGGGGGCTGGGCTGTCCTCCAGTCTCTTTGGCTCAGGCGCAGCTCTTGCCTCATGCTCCTTGCGGCCGTCTTTCCTGGGGAGGGATGGGGATGGCACTGAGCAGGGTGACGCAGGGCAGCATCCCCTCGTTAACCCTAACGAGCGGCACTCACCTCTCGGCCGAGCTCCCACTGCGCGCCTTCGGGCCATCCCGGCCCCCATCTGGCTTGTTCTCATCCCCTGGGGAGGAGACATGACCATGTGCTGAGGACGCCGTGTCCACCCAACCTAAAGCCACCATGCTCCCAATGCCACCAAGGGGACACTTCTGCCCCCCATCCCACCCCACTGCCTGCCCCCCTCACCTCTCCGGTGGGTGCTCCTCGGGGTGGCCCCGTTCTCTGCAGGCGGGCGGGAAGCCATCTGGCTGCTGGGGGGACAAAGGGTCACAGCGGGGTCAGAATGGGGTCAGAGAGGGGGACAGGTGTGGGGTCAGGCATTGGGGTTGGCCATCGGGGTCAGACATAGGGGTTGGCCACCGGGGTTGGCTTTTGGGATAAGATAATGGGTGTCAACCACTGGGGTTGGCCACTGGGGTGAGATACGGTGGTAAATCATTGGGGTTGGCTATTGGGGTCAGACATGGGGGTCCACCATTGGGTTGGCTATTGGGGTCTTGATCATTGGGGTGAGCCATTGAGGTTGGCCATTGGGATGAGATAATGGGTTTCAGATATGGGGTCAACCATGGATCAGAATGTGGGGGGTGATCAGTCACTGCATCAGCGTTATAGGGGAATGTTTTTGGGATTTCAGTCCCAGGGGATTAATTTTGGGGATTCAGTCCTAGCAAGAACCTGCGGGGGAACAATTTGGGATTCAGCCCCGCACCAACCTCACAGGAGAACCATTTGAAGGTTCTGACCTCAGACAAATCTTATAGGGAACTGATTTGGGAAGGCCGAGCCCCATGCCAACTTTGCAGGGGAAGATTTGGGTTTCTGCCCCCCCCCAACCTCTGCAGGGGGAACACCCAGGACTCCCAGCCCCATGCCAAGCCCTCAGGAAACCGTTTGGGCTCCCAGCCTTGTACTGAGATCCCAGCAGAACGCTTCGGGCTCCCAGCCCCATACCAAGCCCCCCATCACCCCTCACCTGCTGGGTGAGTGCTGCTCGGAGTCAGAGCCCGGGGAGCGGCCAGCGGTGCTGCTGCTGCGCTTGGCCCACGCGTTCTCCTTGGGGGGCGGCGCGGGCATCACCTTCAGCGGCTGCTTCTCCTCGCGGCCCTCCTCCTCGCGGCCGCACGCATCGCCCTCCACCGACTTCTCACTCTCCCTCCTCCGTGTGGCTGCGGGGGGCACAGAACGGCGGGCAGGGCTGGGGGTGAGCCCTCTTTGCACCCCCCCCATCCCCAGTCCCCCACCCACATCCCAACCCCCAGACCCCCATCCCACATCCCCCCACGCTCCCCACCCCCTAAATCCCCCTACACCCCCCATCCCAACCCCATCCCCTAAATCCCCCTATACGCCCCATCCCATACCCCACATCATGCATCCCCTCCATCCCCCATCCCATCCCAACCCCATCCCCTATA